TTTATTTTCTAATGCAGTGCTTTAGTCCTTCAACCTGCATTATTGTTATAGGGCAGGGAGAGGGGCAGAGGGGCAGGGAACCTCCCCCTTTCCTGGGGACCACCCTGTTACATTATGACTACTTGGCTGGGGATTTGCTCCTCCCTTCTCTCCTCCCTCTCCCCCTGCCCCAGTGAAATCCTATTTTTGGATCATTTTATGTCGCTAAACTGACTCTATTTGAGCAACTGGGTCTGAAATGCAGTTCCAGCATGCTTAGGACCATACACTAGATAAGTTGAAGGCAAGACACAATGTAAAGAAAACCAAGTGTTGCATGTGGTCATGAAGTGGCAAGAACTGTTTGTGGCGCCTGGGGCATTGCTGGCAAAGTAGAGTCTACACTGGCACTATTTTTCAGGGGCCTGGATGTGTCAGTGATCACCTGCCCTGTTTTCTAAGGCCTATTTCTTGCTTCTTAACTTTAGCTTTATCATTTTCTGTCAGTCCTGAAGTGGACCTCCAGACAACAAAAGATAACACATCTGAAAGAAATGGATAGAACATGCCCTGAAGAATCCACTGCACGAACTTGTTTTTCTGACCAAGGGTATGAAAAATAGTTTAACCAGATTAAACTATTAACCTGGAAATATACACAGGGACACCTGAAATTAGTAATGCAGTAAAATTTGTAACTGCCTAGTAGATTATAACTAGTAATATAGCCAGATAACCTAATTGTCTATAAAAGGGCTTTAACCTAATAGCAATATTTATTGCCTTAGGTACTATTAGGTTTTAATGTGGGGAGGAAGGGCCTACTTGTTATCCTGGCATGCCAACCTCACATGGCAATTTTCAAAAATTGGTATCTTCCTATTTATTCCTTTGGGAATAAGTGCCATTTAGCCACTGAAGATTCCAGCTTCACCTACCATACCAAATTTCAAAAAAAAAAAAAAAAAAAAAAAGCAGTCATCTTGGTAAGCCATTGGAGGAAGAGACTGACCATAATGTCATAATGTCATAATGTTAGAGAGAAAGTAAAGAAACATGACTGCTTTTGTTACATATGTCATTCTTCAGTTCACACAAAAGTTGAATGCTATACTTGGAGGAATTAGGATCCATGTGTTATATGCACAACTATGGGAACTGAAAAATAGACTATCATTGGGAGCAGAGATTAAATACAGATATTGCATCTCCCTTTCCTTTCACATTGGCCTAAGAAAGCACCACCTTCTCCCTTCAGATTTCTCCTCAATAGAATCATCTTGTTTGTACCTTGCACTGCAGCAAGTAGAAATTTTATCAAATAAGGTGTACACTCAGTAGAAATGAAAAGGCAGCACCATTTACTTGGTGCAAAAAGAAGATTGGAGAACACAGAGCATGAGCTTCATCTCTGAGGTAAAGCAAAATTTAACAATTGATATTAAGGAGGGGAATGATGGGGTTCTGTTATTTTGCAGAAAATCACACAAAAGCAATATGGTTGGAGGCTAAAAGGACTTCAGGAGGCTGCACAGGCTGCTGTATTCATACGGAGCTTTTCCTTTTGGACTTTGATGAGTCATAATGTGTTCCCTGAACTTGCTGTTTTGTTTTTTTTTCTTTCTAGTTTGGCAGCAAGCAATAGAAATCACGTTTTCATGGCTATATGGTCAGATTTGTGTGTTGTGTAAGTCGGCTGTGGTTGACACCCTGTATAAAGTAGACATTGGGTTTGAAACTGATATCTAGTTACAATACCCTCCTAAAATAAAAATCCATGCACAAAGTTAGGATGTTTCTAGTCATACTGGCTACACTATTAATACTGACTGAAAGAAATGTCTAGCTTTAGGCAGGAACAGGTAAGACCACTTAGGGAATGAGTACTTCATCTATACTATTGGAAACTAAATTTTGACAAAGTGAATCAGTTGACATTTAATTTAGTTAAGAGATTTGAATTATTGAGAAAAATTACAGAAATAAACACTCCTCTCTCCTGATCAACTTTCTCAATAGACTTTGTTTTTCTATAATCATTCCTCCAACACACCACTCCAATTCTGTGATCATATCACTCTCTAACTTAAAAGCCTTTGTCTGCTTCTAATCTGTTAAATGATCAATTTCAGACTTCGTAGCATGTCACCCAAGGCTGTGCATAGACCTCCCCAGATGCCTGAGCTCCAGAAATCTTGTCTACCTGCCATATTAGACATACTTTCCTCTGACTGAAATACAGTTCCCCCAACCCACATCCTCCAAGCCTCAGCTCTGGCCCAGCACCTTCTGGTGGCCCTCCTTATCCTCCCCAGGCAGAGGAAGCTGCTTGTCCTACTCTGCTCCCATAGCAACCAAATGCACCTCCATTATAGCACTTATCACTTTGATGCGATTATTTGTTTGGTCTCCTCCACTAGATGGTTAGTGCCTGGAGGGTGCAGAGCAAGTTCAATTCATCTCTGAAACCTCAGCAATTAGCTGGATGCCTAGTGCATTGTATGTGGTTAGGAAAAAAAAAAATTATTAAATGAAAGGATGAGAGGATACATATATATTAAAATTATCTAATATAGGAAATTTAGCAGGTCTTTGATATTAGTGATTATCATGTTAATGAACAAGATTACTAAGTGTTCAGAATCTTGATGTTACTTTCCAATCTGGAAAGGCTAATATGCCTTTTGTTTTTGTTTTGTTCTGTTGGGAGGGGGCAATGTAGAAGGTGCGGCCAAGCTTTAGCTCTTGCAGTCATATAAGGAACATTGAGAACAGGTTTTGTTTAGTTTTTAAATTAGTCTAGGGATAACATGAGTGCATACATGGCAATGGTGTAATACAGTGGTAAGCAATTATAATTACAGCTCCCTTTTATTTTCCTTTAAATTATATGGAGATTTCTGGACCTACTAAACATAGAGCTTCCATATGATCCAGCAATTCCACTCCTAGGTATTTACCCAAAGGACACAGAAACATCAATTCCAAAGAGCACCTGCACTCCTATGTTTATAGCAGCACTGTTTACAATAGCTAAGCTTTGGAAACAACCCAAATGCCCCAAAATAGATGACTGGATCAAGAAGATGTGGTACATATATACCATGGAATATTACTCAGCATTCAAAAAAGATAAACACATGCAATTTGCAGCAACATGGATGGCGCTGGAAGGGATCATGCTCAGCGAAATAAGCCAAAATGAAAAAGAAAAATACCGGATGGTCTCACTCATAGCAGGAATCTAGAAAACTTAAATAAGGGACCAGGAAAATGAATATAAGAAAGTGAAAATCAAAATCAACAAAAAACTATGAACCAGAGACACTTTTGGGGGGGGGGGCGGGAGGGGAAGGATTGGGGTCAGAATGGGGCGTTTGCAATTGTATGGGGGAATATAAAAATAAAATTTAATATTTAAAAAAAAAAAAAAATAAATAAATAAATTATATGCCCCTGTTTGTGGAGAGACATTCACAAATGCCATTTACTTCACTTAATCCTATGGGATATGTGATACTGTTCCCTGTTTTATCCGTGAAGAAACAGAGAGACAATAAGTAATTTACATAAAGCAGCAGTCTCCAAAGTAGAAGATCAAGGCAATTCATTGTGATTTGGGAAGTGTTAAAAATTCTGTATCTGGGCCTCCCCGGTGGCGCAGCGGTTGAGCGCTGGGTTGCGAAGCTGCCCGCAGCCTCTGTAGCGCCGGTTTGATCCCCGGCCGTTGGGCGAGGGTCTGACATGGCGTGCAGACCTCTCCTGCCGCCTGCTGCTCCCCTCCGCAGTGTTCTTCGTCAGCCTGCCTGTTCTGGTCCCTGCTCTGGCTCTGGTGAATTCTCTCAGTACCCAGTGCTTGCATAAATAAATAAATACATTTTTTTTTAAAAAAATTATGTATCTTTTTCCTTTGATGACTTAAAAAATGTAATAATGTAACAACCAAAAAAAAAAAATTATGTGTTTGTTATAGTCATTGACCTTGGTACTGTTTATAGGGTCCAAGTAAACTGGTCATGTAGCAAGTAGGTATCTAAGAAATTCAGAAGAGACGACCACAGGCAGAGAGTAACAGCAGCTCCCCTTCCATCCTTGTACTTTCAGGGCATATGTATTGGTGGAAGTTTACAGCTTCCACAGGTTATATTATCAAGTTCTAACCAATCAACCCCCTTATTTAGGAAGCAGGTGACTTAACTAGGAATCCTTCTTTAAGAAAAGAATTTAGGAAATCAATGATTGAGACAAATCTGATAATACAAGCACAGGTGAAAAGTGAAAATGAAGAACAAATCTGCCACCTTAAAACCTCCAAGAATTCTTTGCCAGCCATATTGAGAAGTGAAAGTGATGGTCTAATTGGAGCTGACAAGAAATAGGTCAAAAACACTCACAATTATCCAAGACTACTTGAAATTTATATTCACTATCATTACTGATAAATTCTGACGTAAGCATATATTTCACCTTTAGATTTTAGCTATTGGGAGTGTGATATCATAATGATGTGTAAGATATTAAACTTTTCTATCATCTTTATCTCATTCTTTTATAACTCCTAGTGTGTGTAGGTCTTATAAAGCGTTTAATACATTAATACTGAATATATGTATTAAGAATAACTATACATAAATCAAGCTCTCTCTATTCTGTTTCCTTCTTTTTAAATACTAGGGTGATATGATCAAACAACTTGGAGATGACCGAATGAAGTCAGAATTTTTAACCCAGCTTGGTAAAACTCCAAACTCAAATTGATCTATGTTGCTCCTATAAAAACTATCTAGTTGGGCCTCCCTGGTGGTGCAGGCAGTTGAGCGCCGCACTGTGAAGCTGTCCGTAGCCTCTGCAGTGAGGGATTGATTCCAGCTGGCCGGTGAGAATCCCACATGGTGAAGCAGACCTCTCCTGTCTCTCCTGCTGCTCCCCTCAGCAGTGTATTTCTTCAGTCTGGCTGTTCTGTTCCCCTCTCTGTCTCCAGTGAATCCTCTCACCCTCCCACGCATCTGGCCTGTACCCTGGTTCTTGTATAAAAATAAAATAATCTTTAAAAAAATCTATCTGGTAATTTATCATGAATATAGGATTTTTAACTCATAATGGGGCCAGGAAGGGAAGTATAATGTAAATGATCTTTGGAGCATTTGAGAATCCCATGAAACTGTTCAGAATTCTATGACCATGTTAAAATGCACATTCTGCATTTTAATCTGTATTTCATCGGATTCTCAAGGGTATTGCCCTCAAAGAAAATTTGGGTGAAAATTACTGCTATAGAGCTATCAGCGGCATCAGTGACCCAGCACACTTTATGATGAGAAATTAACCCTCCTCATGTCTTTCATAAAACTAAGTACATACATTATTATAGGTCCAAACATGTCTTCCCTTAGACCTTATAAAACTCAACATTTCTCTAGATAATTCAAATGCATTCTAGCTGCTCAAAGGAAGGCTTCATTTGTCTCTGCAGATAAACTTTAAAGGAAAATTTCATTCCAAACAATTTCCTCAATAGTACTCCATTATATATGGATACATTTTCCTTAATTCAAATTAGTAACAAGAAAATTTTAGTTCATGATTACATTTTGTGTGTCAGGTCACATATGTTAACAGCAAAGCCCATAAAATTTCCCACCTTGATGAGAGCTTAGACTAGGGAATTTGCTAATAATGTTTCCAGAGTCCAAGGTTTGGTAGATTCAGATAAATTTGTTAGTTGCTAGTCATTGTCAAGGGCATAGAATCTGGCCTGTGCTAATTTGTGCAACAGTGTTCAGGGTATTTTTTAAAAACTGGGTAAAACTCTAGAAGTTGTTTTCATCTGAGAATTAACTGTTAACATAAACATTGAAAGAGAATATCAGTTAGGTAACTTTAAACATCTCTCTTTGTAGGGCTGAATTCTCAATGTACAGGACAAATTAAACTTTTAATCAGTATTCTGTTGAATGATTACAACTTTTCCTTCCGCTCCAGGAAAAAATTCCCACTTTAGTAATGGATTCATTGCCAGACTTAAAAAGCATTGCCATACATGACATCTGATACAACGTTGTTAATAATAGGAGAAACTACTCGGAGCAGCCAAATAACACTGACAAAAGCATCAAAATTTGCACATTTAGAATATTTATATATTGAGAAGATGTGGAAAGTAAAAATGAAGAAATATCATTGAAATCTTTTGAATATTAATTTTGAGAATCTATAACACATGCCAGCAGGGCTCAGCAACACTAGGAGGGTGTTGGCCATCATCAAGGGGGAATTTGGATACATGACCTCCCTCCTCTTTTTTCCAGTGAAGTTCTTCATTGGACAAGTCATACAACTGTGACTTGTGAAACTTTTCAAACTTCACTTATAAAATGGAAGGATTTGTGTCAACAATAAACAAATAAACCTCAAATTTTCTTTCCATCATAAATTCTTGGTCTCGGTTTCCTCATCTGTAAAATCAGGATAATATAATAATGGCAGTTAACACAATTATACAACAATTGCAAATGATGCAATGTGCATATCATGGATAACACAGAGAAAAAATAAATGAAGCTGCTATGATTATTTTTAACTCCATCGGTCCAAGAAGTTGGAAACTGGCTTTTCTCTGTCCTCATTATTTCCTAACTCCAGAGTTTAACTATTTTCCAAACTACTAACTCTCATTGGTGTTATTGTCCTGGCAGGTCTTAATGATCCTTTTTCTCATATAGATGATGTTCAATCCCTTCAAGGGATTTCACTTCTTCCTTCTCTTCTGTTCATTCTTGGGCAAAACCTCAAGGTTGTCTTCTTACTTAGTCCTTAAACTTCCTTTCTAAATTCTCAGTCACTCCCATGGCTCACAAACAAGGATGTTAAGTTTGATCTCTGACCAAAATTTCAGTCTCTCATCTCCAGCTGCCCCAAAGCTATCCATATTTAACAGCTCCTTTTATTTTCTTTGTCTAAAGCATAATTTGTCATTTCATTTAAAAATAGCACCCCTTCAAGCATCTACTTTTCTGTAAATAACTTATTTTATTATTTCACCCATTTTTGATAATGACAAACGATGACCACATTACTGAAAATTTGATTAAAGGAGAAAATCACCTACAATGCCATGACTCTGTGCAATCACCGTGAATGTTTTTAGTTGTAGTTCTTCCTAGTCTTTTCCATTGTATGTGATTTTGCACCATTGTAATCACAGCCTGCAATTCTAACTGTATCTTGCTTACAATTGTATTTCATAAGGATTTTCCATGTTAAAAAAGCTTTCATAATGTACTGTTATCTGTTTCCAGTAATTCTCTCCTTTTGCATACCTGGCTAACTTTAATCTTGTTCACAGTCCTGCTTTACACATCAAAAAACTTGGGTGATACTGTTGCTACAAATAATGAAGGCCAGGCTTCTCAGTGAAGCTCAGAGGCCCTTCTCAAACAGAAGTCCATCCTTTCCAGCCTTCTCTCCTATTAGAAAACCTTTCCATACACTGACTATACTACTTACTATTGTGGGCACAAAAAATGATCATTGCCCCAGAACCTTCTATCCTACCTGCCCATAAAGCCCACCTTCTGGTCCTCTACTCTCCCTTTAGCTCAGGCACTACTTGTTCCCCAGAAAGGCTCCTCCACCCTCCCCATCCATTGTGGTTACTCGCCTCACTTTCTAAGAATTTCAACCTGTTACCTAAGCTAACCTGCTCAACAAACTCTAGAATATTTCTTCTGTCTCTCTGTGTCCTGGGAGCTCAGCACAAAGGGTATGCTCAATAAATATTTATTAATAATGATGACGATGATGCCTACTGTCAGCACAGCTGTTCTTTCTACGATAATGGGGAAAGCAGTAAGTGAGCATGACGGAGAAAATTCACTCTGGTCCTCCTTAAATGCTGCCAAAAGTTCTAGGAGATTTGCATATAGTCTACCTCAATAGCAAAAGCATAATCAAATTTGGGAAGTAAGTAAGGAGGGAAGGCGGGAAAGAGAAGATATCAAGGAGTATTTTTGACTTTGACATAATGTATTTCACTTATGATATAGCAGAGATAAATACTAACATTCTTAGATCACAATGAGCTGAAAGACAGCTTAACGGGTGGAGACAGAACCCAAATTAGAAGCCGAGACTTTGTAAATCCAATTAATGCATTTTAATCATTTGATAAGCTGTATGGTTTGATGGTTAAAAACTTAGGCTCTCAAGTGGTGTTTTCCAGGATAAAATCTTTTACCAACTACCAGTTGCATTATCATGGAATTGTTTTTTTTAAAGATTTATTTATTTATGCAAAGGGGTGTATGTGTGTGTGTGTGTGTGTGTGTGTGTGTGTGTGAGGGGTGAGAGGATTCACCAGAGACAGAGTGGGGAACAGAACAGGCAGATTGACCTTGACCGAAGTACACTGCTGAGGGGAGCAGTGGTCTGCTGCACCATGTGGGTTGCTCCCTGGCAGTCCAGGGATCGAATTCATGCTGCAGAGGCTGTGGATTGCTTCATAGTGTGGTGCTTAACCCCTTGCGCCACCAGGGAGGCCCTCATGGAATTTCAACCTAGTTTTTCTATGCCTCGGTTTTTCCATCTGAAGTAAAGGCTAAAGCACTGGAATTTTAGAAAATATTCAACAACTGATTCTCTCCTCCGAAACTCTGATTTGTAGCTTATATTGATTGCCATGGTATAAATATTCCCAGAATGGCTGATTTCAAGCTACCCATAAGCTCACAAAATTCCTGACAATTTAACAATCAATTCCTCTACATTCCTCACAGAGCTGTTGTGAAGATTGAGTTAATATGTATAATGCAGGGGGGCGGAGCAACATGGCGGCGAGGAGACGCTGCGAGTAAGATCTCCCATTAAAAAAAGTGAATAGGGAGGAAAAGCGGCAGGTCCCAGTGAGAAGTGGGACAAGGAAGATAAACGGGTGACGCCAGCGAACTGCGCAAAGAAGAAAGTGGCCATAAAAGAGGACTAGAAGGGAGGGAAGCGCAGAACCCTGCTCCCCTCCCCCGCCCACAGAGGCAGCACTCTCCGACCGGCAGAGAGGAGGAAACAACACACCAAAACGGCCCACAAGAACAAAGGACACAGCAAGCGGGACTGTGAGTGGAAAGGAACTATTGCAGCCACCACACCCCGGGAACGGGAGCTGAGGCGAACCCTGCAGGATCCGCCTCGGCGGTGAGCGAACGGCTCCTGGCGCCATTAGAGAAGAACAAAGACCCCGGGAGACCCGCACACAGCCCGGGCTGCCGGTAAGCTGGCGCGGAAACGTGGCGCGCTAGGGGAGCTTGAAAAGCAAGTGCAGACCGGGATCGCAGCTGCCCAGGTCCCCGCGCCTGCGACCTAGGCTTGCGGGGAGACGCACGGAGGTCCTCACTGAGGTGAAGGTCCCTCCCTGAGTGAGCAGGAACCAGGCGCCCAGGCACGGGAGCTGTGCAAAAGGCGCCATTCCCGCGCCACTGAACTGGGCTACAGCCCGCCTCCTGGAACTGAGGGCTTTGAACTGAGACCCGGGGCACGAAAATTCGGGGCGTGGTTTCTCCACGACGGTGGGGCACAAGGCAGACACAGCACCCCAAAGCTGTTGAGGTGTACCCTACCATTCCGCTCTGTTCGCTGTCCCACGGGGTGGGGGTAGGCGAAAAACAGCCCCCAAGGACAATAGGAGAGATCTCTGGCGCCACCTAGCGACCAGGAAAAAAAAAGTCACTAACACCCTATAAAACAGGACATTTCTTAAGACTGCTTGAAAAGGGCAGAAGGTTTCTGGAGGACCCAGTGGCCAGCCGGGAAGTTATTCCACGCCAGGCCCCTTCCGACCAGCAGTCTGAGCCCACAGAGGGAGCAGGCACCCACGTCCGGGGCAGACCGGGTGCGCAGAAGAGTGTGCCTGAAACCGGAGGCGCAGGGACTGCATCCCGCTTCGCCATTTGAGAACAGGGACATTTCTTCAGTAAAAACTGCCTAAAACCAGCAGAAAGCTCCCCCAGAAGACAGAGATGGCTCCT